CACTACTGAGACAGGACATGTTGGGAACACAGCCCCTGAGGACAAAGGAGGCCTCACCAAGCCAGGTGAAGGGCCTTATTTCTTTGCACCATGCTAGCCTTGGGCTGTGAAAAGTCAGGTGTGGCCCCTGGAAGTCCTGCTGAGGAAAGGGTGAGAGCCACAGCAGGCACCAGCTGTCTCTATAGTGCTTCAGCCCTGCCCCCAGCAGGAAGTTTGAGCACTGGGGCCTGGTGCTCATAAAGCAGACCCCAAAGTACTGCTGTTTACACACCTAGATACTGAGCTACAAGGCAGGCATCTGTCCCTTTTCTTTGAAATGAAGCCAACCGTCAGAGAAGGGAAATCATTTGGCCAGGTTCCATCACAGCAGTGGCAGCACTAGAATTAGAAGCCAAGACAAAGAGTGGAATCCATACTCTTAGCTTCCCTTTATCCAGAGCCTCAAGGGGGTAGGAAGACGCAAGAAGTGGAAGAATTTGGGCACCTAAGCCAGAGGCAGCAGCCTTGATGCCCCAGAGGTCAGCTGGTGGCATGCCCCATGTCAATTGTGGTCCTGCGTGTAAGCCCTGTTGTCTTTAAGATGGAGTCAGCCTTTGCTTTGACACCCATCATTTAACAGCTGTGACAAAGTCACATAGTCCCCCCAGAGCCCCACTTTCCCCATCTTATGTACACGATAACACATCGTTAGCAAAAGGAGCTAGGGTGGACTGGTGAGAAAGAGCTCTTTGGAGGGCAGACATGAGTCCGAGACCAGGACAGAGATATCTGGGAGGAGAGCAAGCCATGTAGGGAACACAGACCCCCAAACTGGGGACTAGAGGACTGTTTTGAGGAATGAAAGCGGTCATTGTGGGAAGCAAGGACTAATACATGTCCTGAGGTCCCTAGGGTTGGAGGTTGATGGTGGACCACAGCATTGTACTGGTATTAAAAGATGCTGCTGGTTTCTTAATGAGGCTAGCCTGTGCCACCCTCGTCCATCTCAGCTCTCCTCAGGCCCAGCTCTCAATCCTAGGGAGGCTGTCGGAGAAAGAATTTTTTCTGTTGCAAAAGCTGAGGGTCTTGCTTTGCCGTAGTCCCCCTCTTGGGAACAGGAACTCAGGATCCTAGATTTGGAAGCGTAGGAGGGGATAAGACCCTGACCATTCAGCCATTCTTCCTGTGTACACAGGCTGCAGGCGAGGTTCTGAACCTACTGACTATCTCTTGTTTCCTCTTCCCTCTCTGCCTTCCTGGTCCTGGGAAGCCTGAGAATCTGTTGCTGGCCTCGAAGCTCAAGGGTGCGGCTGTGAAACTGGCAGACTTCGGCCTGGCCATAGAAGTTGAGGGAGAGCAGCAGGCATGGTTTGGTGAGTGGGGTGTGGAGGGGCAGGGAGGGGAGGGGCATACTTTGGGTAACATGTGTGCCCCTGGGAACCCTCTGCTCAAGATGAGATGAGATGGCTGTTTGGCCATCTAGGGTTGCACCCAGCTAGCCTCTGGGCCAGTGGGAAGTGTCTACCTCTTTACCCTAGGAGTAGGTATGGGCACAGGCCATCGCTAACCAGGTGGTATGTCTTGTTTGTGAGAGCATGTACTTCTAGGCTGGCAGGAACTCGGTAGGGTTTCCCTGGCCCCTGGATGCTAGGTGTTACAGAGAATGGATGGCTAAGCAGCTTGGGAAAGGTCAGGAGAACTTGACAGGTACAGACTCCTGGTACTTGAGACTGACAACCTAGCATGCCTCAGGCTTAGAAATAATGGGGCATGTTTCCTCCCTCTGGGCACTTCTTAATGAGCAATATTGACCAGTGGTTAAGACACAGAACACTTAGGCTAGTTGTGGTGGCACCTGCCTCTAATCCCCGTACCTGGAAGGCAGAAACAGAACAACAGGAGTCCAGGGCTAGCCTGGTCTACATATATGAGACCCTGCCTTAAAACAAAACAAAACCAAACCAAGTAAGAACCAGAGTTCTGGGTTCAAATCCTGGCTCTGCTACTTACACGGTGTGTGGTTTTAATCCAGTCTTGTTTTCTTCATCTCTTAGAATAGTAGCATTTCCCTCAGGAAATCCAAGATGGTAACTAATAGCAGGCATGTGAAGTGACCAGGCCAATGCTTAGCACACCTCTGCAGCAATTAGTACCTACTCCTGAGATGACTAGTTAAAGCTATCTAGTTAAGATATCTTGCTGTTCATTATTCCAACAATCTTCTCAGTATTGAGAGGTATTAAAGGTTAGACCAGCTAATCTTTTATTTGACAGATTAGGAAACTAAGGCCTAGAAAGTAAAGCACGCATGTACCCCCCCTACACACACACACACAAAACTTAGCCAGAGTTGGGACCAAGTCTCTGTCATCTCATAAGCATCCCTTGAGCAGGGTGTAGGGTATGGACAATGGATCAGCTCTTAAAGGCCACCAGCAAGTGGCAGGGAAGGTTGGGACCCAGAGAGAAAGGAGCTCTGTGATAGATTACTCTTGTCTGCCTGAGGCTCTGGATGGAGAGTAGAAGGCTAGTGTGGTATAGTCCTGTCTGGTCTAGTCAGGCATATAGGCCTTATCAGCTTACCAAGACCCCTGGGTTTGCACAGTACACCCCCCAGCTTTGGGGCAGGGCTGTGTTCTCCAGCTCCAGGGCTATCCTCGTCCCCTCTCCTGCAGGGTCTTGCTCCAGGCTACTCACGTGCCAACCTCTGTGTGTGTGTCTGCCTGTCTGTGTGTCTGGGGAGCAGGGTTCGCAGGGACACCTGGATACCTCTCCCCAGAAGTGCTGCGGAAGGACCCATACGGGAAGCCTGTGGACCTGTGGGCCTGTGGTAAGTCCATCCGAAGGCCTGATTGTCACCTGGGACTACAGGTCCCTCTCTTCTTTCCATCACTCTCCTGCTTCATCTCTCCTCTCCTGCTCCTCTCCTCAGGGGTCATCCTGTACATCTTGCTGGTTGGGTATCCCCCTTTCTGGGATGAGGACCAGCACCGCCTGTACCAGCAGATCAAAGCTGGTGCCTATGATGTGAGTGTTGCTCCCTTCTCCAGCCGATGCTCCTCTTCTGGTGAGAGCCTGTGTCCTAGGAGACCGGAGATCTAGGGTCACACTATTCTCTACCACTGCAGGGTTGCTCCAAGACAGATCAGCAGAACCAGGCTGTGACCAAGTGGTGCCTGATGATTAGGGTCTAAAAGTGATGGAATTTATTCCATGGAACACTAGAAGGTAGAGGCAAGGGACAGGCACCAAGCATTTTATTTATTTATAATGATTAATTAAAAAGATAATGTCTCATAAGACCAGGCTGGTCTGAGAGTCACTATGTAGCCAAGGCCTCCCGATTCTCCTGCCCCCACCTCCCAAGTGCTGAGATGGTCGTTGTCTCCCACCATACCTGACTCTGAGACCTGCATTTTCCCCCTTCCATATATTAAAATAACTGAGCACTTCTGTCTCATTCTTCTGAATATTTTACATGTATTATCACATGTAACCATCACCCCAATCTATGACACAGTCATGGTCTATTACTCTTCATTATACATGTAGAGAGGTTGAGGACAAAGAGGCTTAGTGACTGGGACTAGAGTGTGGCAGTCTGGGTCCGGTGCCATGCTTCTAAGTACCTTGTGGATGCCTGAGTGGTTGGGCATGAGACCCCCTGCCTGCTCCCCTGCCAGTCAGGGGCTGGAGGATCGCAGGGGTGGCCTGGGGCAGGCTAGGCAAACCTGGCCCCTCTGTCCCTTCCAGTTCCCATCGCCAGAATGGGACACTGTCACCCCCGAAGCCAAGGATCTCATCAATAAGATGCTGACCATCAACCCATCCAAACGCATCACGGCCGCTGAGGCCCTCAAGCACCCCTGGATCTCGGTGAGCCTGGATCTTCAGCCCTGCCCACGCAGGAGGCCTAACCCTAACACTAACCCTTCACCTCACAGCCCCAATGTGGGGTTGAGGGGGGCCTTAACCAAGACTCTCTGGCTCTCTGTGGGTCTCAGGGACAATATAGCAATGAGGATGTTCTGGGTTGACATCATGTTGGGGGTCTCACTGGCATTGGCTGACTGGTGCCAGGATCCTAACCGTCACACACCATGTGGCAGGATGAGGGATTATCCTCCTTAAGATTTTGTCATTTCTTCTCAAATGCCGTTGGGTCGGTCTGCCCTCACACAGTTCTTACCCTCTCTCCAGCACCGCTCCACTGTGGCCTCCTGCATGCACAGACAGGAGACCGTGGACTGCCTGAAGAAGTTCAATGCCAGGAGGAAACTGAAGGTAACCGGTCGGTCCTTGTCCTTGGCATCCCTGGACTCACTACTTATTTCCTGCCTCAGTTTTCATGTGTGTTTACTGTACATTCTTGCACACTGGCCACCAAGGGTTTGGGGGAGTGAGCAGCAAATCTGACCCCATCCCACCCTGTCTGCACTCTGGTTGAGAGGACAGACGAGCAGGACTCTGCTGGGGCATGGTGACTACTGTGCCTGATGGTGGGTAACACAGCGGGGCGATGGCATTCCTTAGTCTGGAGGATTCTGGGAAGGATTTTAAGGGGCCTTCCTGGAGGAAGTGACATTTCAGTTGATTCTTTGGGACAAATAGGTGTAGAGTGACAAGGGGGCCAGAGATGTTCCAGACAGAGAGATTGCCTGTACAGATGTCTGCAAGTGTGAACACTGCTCTCTAGGGGGACACGGATGGTTTAAGAGAGGTTTATTGGGCGGGAGGCAACATGTGATAGGCATGAAACCACAGTTGAGTGAGAGAGAACTCCAGTTGCCGAGCATAGAGGAAGAATGGATGAGTCCATCAGAGATAGGTTAGGGGGCCTGAAAAAGCCGCTATAGAATCACGGTGGGCCCTGAACTGAGCATTCTCAACAGGCCCTGAACCTAGCAGGCTGAGGCTTTGCCATGATTGCTAGCTGCCAGTGTGCCTGATGGGGACAGAGAGGGTGGATGTGGAGGCCTTGACTCACTTACTACTCCCAGAACTGGAATGGAAGCTCAGGATGGGGACTTGGGCCAAAGGGGTGATGACTGGCATGATGGTCAGAGAAACTGAGTCTCACTCCCACCCCAGGAGGAAGTGTCTCAGAAGAAGGAAGTTTCCCAGTGTGGGGATCAGGGATTCTTAACTCAAGGGGCTATTGGATTTGAGATGGTACAAGTCAGGTTATAATGAGACAATACGAAGACCGTTTCGGGCCCTGGTTTCTAGCCCCTCACCAACTTAGAAAGGGCTTCTCTGAGTTGATATCCTCCTGGGTATGGTCCAGGGACCACGAAGGGAAGAACTCATTCTGGAACCAGGTCCTCCAAGTCTCACAGCACAAGCATCATCTTCCTTCCCAGGCAGGGAACTTCTGCAGCCTTTGGGAGCCCCTGCTAGAGTGTTTTAGAGTCCACTAGCTTTGGCCAGACCATGGGACCTTTTCATGTCTGCTGCTGTCTCAAAATCTGTGTCTGCCAAAGCTACTCCTCCAGGGAAAGTGGACGGGCTCTGGGCTAGAGGGTGGGGTGTGGTCAATGGAGGGGAAGGGGTGAGGCTTTGGCTTGTCTCTGAAGGGTACACTGCCTGCTCTTCCCCCTGCCCTTCTGCTCCTGTCTATGCTCCTCTCCTCACCTGTGCCTCTTCTTGGGCCCATCTTGTCTGTTGCAGGGAGCCATCCTCACCACTATGCTGGCCACCAGGAACTTCTCCGGTAGGTGGTGGGGCTAGAGTTCCCCCTGCATCCTGCACCGGTCTGCTGGATGGCATTACACTGTTGGGTAGCTGGGTGTCCCCAGAGACAGGGCTGCAGAAGATACCATCATCCAGTCTTAGTTAACCCATCACATTTGGCATGGAGAAAGGAGAGATTAAAAGTCAGCAACCTGAGGCCTAGTTAGAGGTTCAGTCTGGCTTCCCAGTCTACAGCAGCACTGAGGTTCTCAGACCAGGCCAGCTAGAGGGGCAGATAGTTATTGCGGTCTAGTCCAGCAGGAAGGAGTCAGACTTTAGGAAGCACTGTTGTTAAAGCCTTATGCCAACAGGCACTTGGCTTCAGCTCAAGTTACTTCACAGCAAGGCAGTGGGGTGACACTTTTCCCTTTTTCCCAGGGGAGGGTGACAAAAGCTTAAGTATGCTCTGCTCCTCCCAGGTCTCAGAACTCAAGAAAGGCAGACTCTGTCCTCAGCACAGGTCTGACCCACTCAGAGCAGGTGGTTTTATCCAGGCTGGGTTACCCAGGAGCCCAGGGCAGGAAACTCCCAGGCAGGGAATGGCCAAGTCACTGGGCATGTAGCTCCAAACAGCAGGGAAAGGGATTATTGTCAGAGCTTAGCAACTCCACTTGGCACATGGGTCAGTGATGTGCCAGCTCAGCTTCAGGCCTCTCCCTAGGGAGTCCTGGGTGCTGATAGTGCAGCAGAGCAGATATAGACAGTGGAAGCGGCAGAGCTCACTGAAGGGGCCCTGGTACCAGGGCTGGGCCGGCACAGATAGCTGCACATACAGACAGGCAACCGCAGCCAGGGGTCACTTCTGAGCAGGTTGCAGGCCTGGGTTCCCTAGGAGGGTCTCCTGGGTCCCCAGGAGAAGACTCAGCTTCAGAAGTGTTCTTCAACCACACTGAACTCTCTTCGGTCATGGATCTGGCCGTTCCTGTCACTGAGCACTGAAAGCTGAGCTGCACTGGCAGGGTTTATTTTGTTTTGTTGTTTTATAATTATAGCACCCTGGAGAATACCAGTCTCAAGCCCACAGAACAGGGGCCCTTGGCTTGGTAAGCCAGGGCTGGAGAAGAGAAGTGGGCTTTTTTTGTTTTGTTTTGAGAGTGGCAGAGGAATGCTGGAGAGACGGCTCAGCAGTTAGGAACATTTACTGCTCTTGCATAAGACCCAGGCTTGGTTCCTAGAACCTACATGGAGGCTCACAACTACCTGTAACTCCAATTCTAGGGGATCTAACCTCTCTTCTGGCCTCCATGGGGTCCTGTACACAAGCGCTACACATAAATTCACACAAACACACATAAATAGCTAGTTTTGTTTGTTTGTTTGTTTGTTTTTGTTTTTTTAAGGAAGGATTTTTGGACCTGATTTTGATTTCTAATACAAAAAGGAAGAGGAGAGAGAAAGAAGAAAGAAAAGAAAAAATAGAGGAAATAGATTTCTAATCATTAAAAATCAAAAGATTTGGGGGCTGGGGAGATGGCTCAGTGGATAAAGTGTTTGCTTGACAAGCACAAGACCTGAGTTCAAATCCCCAGCAGCCATGTGAAAAGCTAACTGTGTCAGTACCTGCAATCCCAACACCAGGAGGCAGAGACAAGGTTAGCTGGGCAGCTAGTCTAGCAGATAGGTAAACGCCAGGTTCAATGAGAAGCCCTGTCTCAAAAAGCAAGGGAGACTGGAGGCACACACCTTTAATTAATCCCAGCACTCAGGAGGCAGAGAAGCAGGTAGATCTCTGTGAGTTTGAGGTCAGCCTGGTCTACATAGCAAATTCTAGACCCTGTCCAAAAGAAAAAGGGAAAATGTGATCAAGGGAGGTATCCATTATTAGCCTCTAGGATCCACATGTGCGCACACAGACATACACATATCAACTTTGCACAAAAATAAATCAAGAGATTTTACACACACACACACGCACACAC